AAATAAGGGAGGAAAAGAATGAGAGAGAGGAGGAAGGGTGGAAAGAGGGCTTCAAAAACAAGGTAAAGTGATTGGAAAATATAAATAAAACGTTCTGTAGGTGCTTGCTTTATAAGGAACAGGCAGAGGGAGCATTTTACACCTCTGATACTGGTCTCTTCATCAGTTCTTTTTGGTGTCTGCCTTCATCTTTCCCTCTTCGTTTGTGCTCATCTCCTTTACCTTCTGGAATAATTTAGATTGAAAGTACGTCCTGGACTTGCTTACACCTCAGACCTCTAAGCAGCCAACTCCGCAGGCTGGGAGAGGACTTCAGTGAAGCTAGAGGTTGTTTTTTCCCCCACTCGCTGAAAAACGCCGCTTTTGTCTCAGCAGCTGAAGGAGAAGGGATCGAGGCCAGTTCAGCCTGGCAGTAGATCGCATCCGTGCCAGAAAATGCCACGGTCTCTGTCCAGGGGAGCTGTCTCGGAGGGAGCCGGGTGGTTTCTAGGTGGGAGGCGAGGGGAAGGGGCCCCCTGCCGGACCCCCCTTTCCCCAGCGGGGAGGCAGGCGTTTGTCAGGAGGGACTTGGCTGATGCGAGGGGCAAAGCGGGGCAGCGCGGCCAGTAGGTGCCCGAGGTGGGGCTTACGGCGGGGCCGGGGCAGCTCCCTCCTGGCCGGGGGAGCGGCAGGCGGAGGAAGAGGAAGTGCAGCGGAACCAGCGCCGCCCCGGCAGGCGCGGGCTGCTGCATGGGCACAAACTTTCCGCCTCGCGGCGCGCCGGGCTGCGGAGCGCCCTGAGCCCGGGAGGGAGGACGCCGCGCACCGTCCCAGGTAACGGGGCTCCCCCTGTGCCAGGCAGGGCTGCTGAGTTGCAGCTCTACGGAGCCGCCTGGTTTCGCCGCGCTCCGGGCTCGTCCTAGCAGAGCCTGATCCAAAGCCTGCCGGAGTCACTGAACCAGACCGTAAGTACAAGCGGGGAGTCGCGCTCTGTCCGCCCGCCCTGCGGCGGGCTCAGATTCCCATTTCGAACGCGGCGCACGGTTCGAACGTTCCTTTTGAGAACGCTACGTACCTGGAACGTTCCAGCTCAGAACGGTGCTGGCGAGCCCGGGACACTCCTCGAGGGCTGCGCTGCCTTGCCCCCGACTTCAGTCTGCTTATACCCCGGTCACGGTTTCTGCCTGTCTGCGTGACACCGGCTCCAAGGCTCGGCTTGAGGGAGGAAGGAGCAGAGACTTGTCCGGCTCCAGGAAGTAAGACAGTCCCCCAAAGCAGCGTGTCCTCCTGTGTGCCTGGGCTAAGTTCTGCGCGACAGCTTCAGTGTAGGTTCAGGTAGGGGCGCCCGGGGTACGTGGTTGGGCAAACCAATATAGTCATCGTATGTCAGTGTTTCTGGTGTGAAAATTCCTTAGTAAAGTAACAGACTCAAAAGCTGTGACACGCCATCCCGTTTCTACTCACAGCCATCACTGATGTGACAGAGAAGAGAGTGGTGTTAAGTTGAAGACAGGCAGAAGGTTTATGCCTTTCTGAACATATTCACCTTTGCCCTATCTGATTCGATAATAGCTTCTGTTATTTTCAGATACTGGATTCTGGGCATGTCTTCCAAGTCCACTTTGTTTCAGCAGGCTTCTGTTCATGTAGAAGGGGTTACTGCAATACTAGGGTTATTAAATGCACCTAGGGGGATGTGTTTCTATAATGTGAATGTGATATAGATACTTTCCTTCCATTTTTTTTTCATTTGCATCCTTGTCAGAGCTATTAAGTTGCCCACTTTTCATCACCCCAGTTGCCCTTCATACTTCTGGAAAAGGGGCAGCAGGCGGGATGGATTCCCTTTTGAGCTAATCCTTTGGCAAGTTGGAAGCATCACAGATTGCTGTCAAGAGATGGAAGACATTTGTTCTCTCTTAGGACTTGGCCTGCTTTCTCTATGGCACTCCCAGCCATGACTGGGACAGCAAACTGAACTAGGGGCTACTGTTTAGCAGTGCAGAGCACTGACCCCAGGTTGCCATGCTGGCTTAATAGACATGTTTTGTTCTAAAAGGAAATATTTATTGGGAGTAAAGCTATAAGAATTCCATTACACTGTATTTCCCAAACTTCGTTTGAAAACATTAGAGGATATTTTATCAGGTTTAAAGAAATTGCCAGTTGTTCCATTTGGACTCCTACAGTACTCAGTTTTTTTTTTCAGCTACATAGAAAAATAATTAACATTGCCAAGACTTAAATGATATCCAGTTTACAAGGTGAAAATATTGTAAAAGTTTTTACATTTCCATCTCAGTACTTCCAGTCCATTAGCTTTTGACATGTGTAATTAGTTTTTCACAGTACCACAGGTCACATTTATATCTTTAATTCTTGATATTTCTTAAAGCGTTTTATTCTCTAGTGCTGCTGTTGTTATTTTAAGAATCTGAGGTAACCTCAACTTTATTTACATTCAGGAAGGGGTTTTCCATTGTTTAAATGTCGGTATTCCCCTGGCTTTGGAGTGAAAATGTAGTGCAGAATGAGTAAGTATAAATGTCACTAGTTACTTAAAGCAGCCCAGAGCTGTGGTGCTGGGAAACTTAGTTATACTAAGTAATTCACTCATATGACTGTGACGGCCCTCTTGAGTCATTGAATCCAGACACCAACCACCATCATATAATCTCTTTCATAACCTGATCAAGTTCCCTCTTAAAACTAGTTAGGGGTTTTTTTGTCTTCACTGCACATTTGGAGCCTGTTCCAGAACAAACTTTCATGGTTAGAAACCTTCCTCTCCAGCTGATATTTATTGATGGAGAGTTTATACCAATTTGTTCTTGTAAGAATGTTGAATCTTGTAAGACAACTTTCTTGCTGTCCCAGTCATGGCTTGTTGACTTATCTCTTTTTGCTTAAACAGAAGTTCTGAGAGGGACAAAACTCCCTTGTATTTATAGAGAACAATGGGATCCCTTTTCCAACCATTTTGCTATGCAAAACAACCCCAGTTCTCTAGCCTTCCATAAGAGAGACCTGTCTTTTCCCTTGATCCCAGTAGCCCTCTTATGAACTTTTTCTAGCTTGAATTAATCTTTCGTGAACTCACAATAAGCAGAAATGGCATAGTATTCCTGAGGAGTTCTCCAGTGCTTTGTACCATGGCATTAATACTTTTTCATTCGAAATAGCTTGCTTGATTTTGATTCTGGGGTTGCATTTGCCTTTTTCATGGCCACATTCAATGATCAACTAATTATTTTACACCTAAGTTTGTCTTTTTCTCTGTCATTTTAGACTGAAGGACTGGTTTATAGTAGGCATTCTTATCGGTCCCTAAGTGCATGATCTTGCAGGTCAGGCTATTAAATTTCATCCCAGTTCTATTATTCCGGTCCTCAAGATCATCCATTTCTTTCTTTGTTATATTCTGATTTTCATTGTCAGTGGATCGAACCTTTGTGTCCAGAAAAATTTGTTAGCCCCATGCTACTTTTGTGCCAAGATCATCAATGCAAAATATCAAACAAGGTTAGGTCCAGATCTGAGTCTGGAGCTCCTTCTAGCCTGATGCTTCCCAATCTTGTCTCCTTTTTAGCCAGTTCCTTATCCTTGTAGCTGTACAATTTCAGGTGCTAGAATTATCAGATGGGGGATATTTGATCCCTCTGCCTTGAGTGGAACATAGGATTGGAAGGGGCCTCCTGGGTCCTATGATTTATTTGCAGACAACTCTTTAACCAAGGGTTTATCCAAGTGCATTCAATTGCTTGAGTTTTTTGTCCCCACTTTGGCTTTGATTTGCCAGCAGGGGCACCCCAGAGGTGCATGTGCGGTAGAGGCATCCCAGAGCTGCTGACCCTAGGAGCAGGAAGCAGAAACTGGAAGAGGTAGGGGGAGCCTGGAGACCCTGGCAGCTACTGTAGCAGGAACCAGAAACAGCAGCTGGGCAGGAGCCCACAGTCCACATGTTAATCTGACGCAGACCACCAGTGGGACGGCCCTGGCTTAGAGAACTGTTTACCTATCTGTCTGTAACCTCACTATATCATAAACTGCATGTGTACATTTACATACCCGTTTATTTCTAAGCACGATTGTAAAACACAGATAATTCAGGGCTACTGCCTTGTGAAAATTTTACATTGTATGTGCATTTGATTAATAATCAAAAGAGGGAGGAATCAAAATGCTTCACAAGAATGACTGACTTGGGAGATTTCCCTAGTCTGATGTAGACCGTTCTTTCCCTTTGTGTTTCCTCAGGCTGATGTGACTAGCCAAGGAGCAAGATTGTGTTGATGTAGCCTACACTGGCAGCAACTGAAATGAGAGGAGCAAACTAGCTTCACCCTTCCCATCCTTTAGAGGCTTACTGTAGCCGTGCTGCAGGCTCAGGGAAGAGCTCTGATGCTCTCTCCTCCAGTGCAAATTCAAAGTTCATGATAAGACTTCTAAAACAAGATTGTTGGTTGTTTTAGTGCAGTAGTAGGAACTAGCTTACTCCATGCTAACTCTGTTTAATAACAGGTTGGCAATAGCTTTTCTGTTTGTATAGCACAGGTTCTGGGCGCTACAGTGATATAAATATTAAATATATAAAATTATCTTGTCTCAGTCTGGTAGAGTACTTTAATGCTGTTTGTCTCGGAGGGTATTTCATATTTGTTTTAATATGGACTGAGATGCTGGGTTTCAACCAGCAGTATAATAAAACTTTGATTTGGAGATGATAAACTGAGAACAGACAAGGTGGTAGATCTCTAAAAGGTAGAAAATCAATTCCTGTCACATTTTTGATCATTTTAGTCAACTGCATCTGCTTTCATGAATCATGGAAGAGTCCAAAAAGTAGAAGGATTGTCTTGGCAACTATAACTGTTTCTTGAAGGTTCTAGACCAGCTTCTGGGAACATGCCAGTAAAACTTCCATCGGGGAAAGTTTTTCAGGTCTAGGATGTGTTCTGGGTGGGGAGTGTGTCAGTCTGTTCTATTTTGAGCCATTTTATTTTGTATAGTAAGTAAATATGTATTGGACTCTGAGGAAAATGCGGCAGTTTGACTTGACATCTATTAAGGGGCTCACTCAAGATAAGGGAAACTCAGGTAAATTGTGGAAACTGTAATCCGTGGAACAGGAAAACCATTTTCTACTAGTGGTGACCCTACTTTGTCATTCAGAAGGCAGTATCTAAGAACTATTCAACTGTAGGTTTTGATGATGATCTTCAATTCATTATATTCAATTTTGGTACATAGAATTAAAAATGAGATACAGACTAAGAAATCTACAGTCAGGTCTAGGTTTCATTTCTAGGTGTATCCGAATGGCTGAACATGTGAATGATGTAAGAGATTATTAAGATCACAGCATTCTTATAGGATGAATTTTGTTATTCTAAATAGAAAATGAGTTGGCAGACTGAATTGTTTAAATCTCCTTGTCTAACACAAGGCTTTTTCCCCCACCATGTCGACTGTGGGGCAGGGGTGGGAAACCTCATCTTGGATTTGAGTAAATACAGCATTTTCCAGTGCCTTCCAACTGACTCAGAAAAAATGCAAAACTCTTGGTAAAATTGAGCAGTGGTTTTTAATGTCTCTTTTGAGGCTTTACTGAATTTTTTAGCACATCATCCCAACTCCATAAAGAGTTTTGATGATTTCAGTGGGACTCTTCATGTGCCCAAAGTACTTTCAAAACACTGTTTTTATTATTCCATCATGCTTTATAAATATTTGTATATAAAAATATGCTTTACATTTGGATTATATCAGTCCACCACTGAAATACAGCCAGGTGATTTCTTTTGATGAGATCTCCTTGCTGTCCTGGTTCCTGATTCAACAAGGTACTTAGGCACATGCTTACAAGGTATCTGAGCAGTCCCATTAAAAGCAAGGTAATGAGACAGCTCTTATGCTTAAGGACCTTGACAAATCAGGACATCAAAGTAAGAGTGTTTTTCGTCATTTTATTTTAACCTTTTGCTACCCATAGTGCCTAAGGAACCTTGTCTGGTGAATTAATACAGCTCAGTGAACAAAGGAAAGGAATTTTCATTTGGTAAAGGAAACATGTTCAGTGAATTGCTAAATGTTTGCAGTGCTGATTATTGGCATTAACAGAAGAAACTATTGTCTGGCATAGAAGAAGATATTTAAATATTCTTAGCTCTTATTTCACAAAATAAAATAGCTGAGTCTAGCTTATAGAAATGAGTAAAATAATGTAGTTTATATTATTCTGCCAAAATAAACAGAGAAGTTTCAGGGTTGGGATGGTGGTTTGTAGAGCAAACCCCTAAAGATTTAAAGCATAGGATGACATTTGATGCACGTTTGTGTAATGTTTCTTGGTACATTTTCATACCAAAGCTACAAATCTTCTTTTTAACACATGTTGATTTCTGTTTCCAATTTATATATTTAGGCTACCATGCATGATTGGCCAGTTGCAGCTTATTTAAAATATTATTTCCTCCCTGAAAAGGGGAAACTTGGATTTTTACAGAAAACCTGACAAATCTAGTTACACAGATAACTGTTTTCTACATAGAAGTACATACATTTTAGAAAAGATTTAAAATTTTAAAGTTGGACAGCTACAATTGAATTTTCCCATAACAGGGACGGATATATCAGAATTGTTGCTTATATATGTGTTGAATGCTTAATAACATCATATTTCATTTTTCCATTACTTTTTTATAATGGAATATATGTCCTTCAGATATATTTTAGTACGTACCAGACAAGGTACAATATAGATTACCCTGTCAGTCTTCCAATAAAATTAACAAAATCTGCATGGTATATAATAAAAATAGTTCATTTATGCTATTTCATAAAAATCCATGGGCAGTTTACCTCTTTAAAAAATAAAAATTGCCGAAGTTTTGATGATACGACATATGTAATTGAAGAATCAATGCTGAATTCTATTTTCTCTTCCTTTTCCCATGCCTCTCTCTATCAGCAGCTGTTGAAATGGGTTGTGGATTAAACAAGTTAGAGAAACACGATGAAAAGCGCCCTGGTAATATCTATTCAACTTTGAAGAGGCCCCAGGTAGAAACCAAGATAGATGTTTGCTACGAATATCGTTTCCTGGACTTTACAACACTGAATGATAGTAAGTACGCAAGTATTTATCTTCTGGCTATTTTTTGTTAAATTAGACAATTTAAGGAAAGCTTATTCAGCATTTTCCTACTGTGCATTTTAAACCAGTGCCTAAAATGTGGGGGCTATTTTTGCGGGGCGGGGTTCAGGTTTTAGAAGGGATTCTTTATATTATATTAATATCATTGCATGTGAAAGGATAAATTTGGGTTTATTTACTTTTGCTCATTATCCAGATTTTATTTGGGAAAGTGATTCACAGCTAGAAGCCTGTGTGATTTCCCACTGTTCCCCGCTCGTCAGATGGCTGTTCTAAGGGGTTCAATTTGGTATTGTCACGTTTGCTGACCTGTCTTTCATAATCCTCAGGCTGTTACAAATGCCTGCGGGTCATCTTCTTTCATTAATTTGGTCTGGTCCACTGGCAAGATAGAGAGTGGCAAAAGGAAAAATCTGAAAAAACAGGAAGGTGAGAGGTCAAGTGCTATGTAGTTGCAATTTTTTTTCCTTTATGTTGTTCAACAATTAACTTTGTCCTTCTATTAATAACCAAATAGGGTCTGCATTTTCATTCCTGCCACTGTCTGTAGATGTTCTAGTTGTTTTTTTCTCTTACTGATATCTGTGAACCTAGATTCCCAGGTCACTGTCATCCATACTTTCTATTACTTGATCAGGCTATTCCTGTCCATTTTACATCCAGGAATGCTAAACCATTTGGGAAACTATTGCTGGAGCAGGGGACGATGGCTTGCTGCTATGTGATCACACTCCAGAACCCGGTTGGCCAGCTAAATTCATGCAGAGTTCAACATCACATTCTCTAGTTGATAAAGGGATAAACGACTAGAGACTTATCTTCTCTAGAGACAGTATAACCCAGATCATTTGCCCTCGTGGTTCAGAACCAACTTAATTTGCAGTGGGTTGCCAAATTAAGGGAGAGTCTTTTAGCTGTTTGATACAGCTTTTAATTCAAAGGGTACTTCTCTGATTACCTGGACCTCAGATATAGGGTATGCACAAATGTTCAATTCCAGCACTGCAGGTTTTTGGGAAGTTTGCAGGGGTGAAAAACCTAGCCCTGGCTGCTGTCCTGGTTCTTTGACAGCATGGAGAAATGTCTCTTGGTCCTGGAAGGAGTCAGGTTGTGAGGATATGCCCTTGTGTTGACTCCAGTCTATGAAAGGAGTGGGAAATGCATACAGCTGTTCAAACTGGTACACGAGAACAGAGATCTACCTGGTTGGAAGTGCTCTTCTTTTTTTTCTGGAAGAGCCATGTCTCTGCCACAAGACACCCTTTAAGTGGCTATACACTCTTTTCTTGTGCCAGGAGAAGGGCGTTTTTTCTCCCAGCACAAATATAATGCCTGTCCATGGCCATAGTCCCATGCAACTGATTGGAGAAGTAGTGCCCTTTGAATTAAAAGCCATAGCAAACAGCTGGAGCACCTCAATCTATGTACCCTGGTTACTTCTCAAACTGTCATCTTAGGGGGGTGAGGAACCTAACCCCCCTAAGATGGGGGGGCACCTCCCAAAGTATTAGGCTAGGAACAGAAGTTACACATAAACCAGTTCAAATCATCAGAAACCAGTTCAGATTGTAACACAACAGAAATACAGTGCACTTAAAACACTTTCAAAATGGCTGAAACTGGTTTAAGATAAACCTGGTTGACTATAGTATCAGACTGAACTGATTTGGGTCAAACCGGTTTATGGAACTTCTGTCCCAGACCCCTTCCTGCTTCAAGTTAACTCACAGTCTCTCAGCATCCCAGGGTGCTTTGCAACCCTAGGCTGTGCTGTCTGCTCCAGCAGAGCAGGGTTGGCCCCACCCCTCTTTTCCCTAGCTGGAGCCCTATCATTGCTCCAGCTGGCTGAGAGAGGGGTTCAGGGGAAACCTGGCTCCAGAGCCCAGCCAGGTCTGCATGACAGCGGCAGAGCAGACCCTGACAGGCTTTTCCTTTTTTCGAGTGGAGAGTGGGGGGTGTGGCCAGACCCCAGCCTGGGCCAGCAGGTTGAGGCATAGGAGGAGGGAGGGAGGTTTAAGCCCTGTCCCATGCTTGCATGGGACCCCAGCCAGGGTCTGCCTGGCAAGCACAGAGCAGCCCCTGACAGGCTTTTCCTTGCTTACTGCTCAAGCACAGAACAGAGACCATGGCCAGATGCCAGCCCTGTTCAGTATACTGAGGCAGAGGTGAGGGGCTGGGGGGGGCCTAAACCCCCTCCTTCCCTCTATGCCTCAGCATGCCAGCCCAGGCTGGCATCTGGCCATGCCTTCTCCTCCCCAGCCCCCACTTCCACTCAACTAGGGAGCAGAGGAAAAGTCTGTCAGGGGTTGCTCTGCCCCTGCTAGACAGACCCCAGCTGGGGTCCCGTGCAGGTGAGGGAGGGGGTTTAAGCCCTTCCTCAGCCCCCCCCCCCCCCCCCCCCCCCTCT